TATAATGTATTGTTTTCTTCCAAAGTTGAAGAGAACAAAGTGGAAAGCATAAAAAGAGACAAGGGAACAAATGTGAAATTGCTGCAAGAGACTATAGAAAAACACCAAGTTGAACTTGCAACTCAAAAGGAAAACTACGCAAATGATACATACAATATCCCCAGTGACATGGTACCCAAATCTCATTCCTAGGAAAACCCAAGAAATTATTAGCAAGACCCTTGTGAGTAAGTGAATTGCAACCAAAAACAGCAAAAACTATAGGATGAGCTCTTACCACTTCACCAACACAGGTAAGAAACCACAAATAAAACTCACTAAGATACATCTTTTAGTTCAAATGAATCATCAAAAATGAAAAACTATTAAGAAAATCTAGAATCATGAAAATATGAAAACTCTCTGCTTGTACATAATTAGCATCTATCATTGGTTCAATCTCTCCTTCCTCAACCATCCCATTCTAGTCAAAATTGGCAGCTACTATACTCTCCATTAAGTGGAGAGTGCACTTTGAAGGGAAATCTTGAATTGAATAATTCATCTGAGCATTTCCTATCCAATTTCTCCAAATTTTTGAACCTCTGCAAATATATATAAACCCATTTATTTAAAGAAATGCATTCCATGGAACACGAGGATAATAAACAATTTTGTGAAATAGGCAAGAAACTTTGCTGATCTACATAATATGAACACAATAAAAGCTACAAGAACAATACATTTTGTCACCCCTGCAAAAGTTACATGTGGGGTGAACAGTTTAGAATCACCTAGTTGAGTTTGAACAACTACACATTTTGTTCAATTGCAAAATTTAAGGAAACATTGATGCCAGCAAGTGGTACTAAAGTAATTTGTCCTTCCACTTGAAATGTATAGACAAAGAACATCAATACTAAACCTATATTCACATCATAGAATCCTGTGTTAAATTAAACATAAAGGAAAAGCAGAAGCTTATACAAGATTTTGACTGAAAAAAAATCCTTGGAAACGCTGTTTTCAACTAACTATTAGGAGAGAACATTACAACCACACGAGAAAGTTTGATCTTACAAACGTACCAAGAACAACCTCATGGAATTCTTCTTCCAAATAAACAAGTCCACAAACTAGAGAATAAAATCGACCCAATGGAACACTTGATATTTATCACTTTTTTTTTGATAGGTGGATCTTTGTCACTTACATAAACAAACCCTGACAAATAATGTAACGAGACAAGGAAAAACATTAACCGCAATACAATAGCAAGGATATGACCTATTTCTGTTCAGTATAGTCATTCGGAAGCCCATCAACAAACTGCTAATTGTACTGCACTTTTTGACAATTTTACTGACCAAAACTCGTGTTCCATCTTCATCTTTTATTATTTTGCATTGACCGAAGACGAAGTTGTTAAACAATCAAAGAATATACACAAACATATATATGCTATTAAAATAGGAAATAAGACTAAAAGTGACATTAACCAATTAAAACATATACATTATATTGATAGATAAATCTTAACGATTAAAAAAAATCACCTATGTAGTTAAATCTGCAGTAGAGAACTCCTTCCATAGGTGCTGAAATCAAGTTAAAAAGTAATTCATAAACGAAAAAATTCAAGATTTATTAATTTCTTTTTCTTTCCAATTCAATGGAGATGCTGAATGAAAAGAAATGGGGAAAACCTTAAATGATGTTGGTATAGTTGACGACAAAGAATTGTGACTCGTGTCTATAATGCATGAAAAATAGTCTAGAGACGAAAAATAGTTCTTTCTTCACTCCTTTACCTAGGATGTAACTCAAAAGAACATAAAACTTGATGCACATTACAAATTAAGAAAACATGTCATCTGAAATTCAGAATACAGTTTAACAAATCGATAGACCCTCTCGAACCCTAAATGCAATATGATTCATATCATAATATCCAAGCCTCCTCTCCTAATAATATAGCAACGATAATAAGAACCATAATTATCATTTGGTTCCAATATAACATAGTTATAGGTGGACAAATTTATCATTTCACATTGACCCACATAAAAGAAGTCAAATCTTGATGGATGAAATTTCATCAATCAAATTACTTAGTATTACTGTAACAATCAACATGAGTTAAGATCAATAGTAACAATCACATGACATACATATTGATAATAATTCTCTACATAAAAATTGAATCATGAAAGATGTAACAGCAATCTCCACTTAAGATAATAAGAAAACAAATAAAAACCAAAGAGCATAGTCCAACTTAACAATATTTAGTACCCACAATAATCGAGATAGAGCCTTGTAATAAAAATTAATCTCGAAAAAAGAGGAAAAGGGGGAGGAGACCTTTCGTGGCCAACAATGTCCCAAATTTGAGCTTTGATGACTTTACCATCAATATTAAGACTCTTGGTGGCAAACTCAACTCCAATAGTGGATTTGGACTCAAGATTGAATTCGTTTTTGGTGAACCTTGAAAGAAGATTGGATTTTCCCACTCCTGAATCGCCTATCAGCACCAATTTGAACAAGTAATCATATTCATCTTCTGCCTTGTATCCAGCCATCTACTTTCCTTTGTGTGTGTGTAAGCTTTGAGTTGCTTTTGGTTGATGGGCTCAACGAAATTTTATAGTGGGAGATTATAGGAAGTGGAGAAACTGTTGTCGGCTTGGTTGGGGGATTGCAGGGGTTGGCTTGATTCTTGCTTTGAGAAATGGTGGAAGCCAGACGGTTGCATGAAGAGGAGGTGAAGAGGAGTGATGCGTGATGGAAATAAGAAGACCAAAAAAAAATGCCATTTTGCATTTTGTACAGTGACGTGGGATTTATTTATCGTTCAATTAACAGTGCCATCTCCTTTCCCTTTTTAATAATTAGAAAAGAATAATAATTGGACCACTTTTTATTCTTCTGGTAATGCATAAATACGTGACATAACACCTAACTTATGTACTGAATAAAAAGAGATGAACAAAAGAGCAACAGAGCAGGAAGAACATAAGTGCCTAACTTATTTAGACACACAGAAAATCATTCAACATCGATATCAAAGAAGAAAAAGAATTTAAAAAACTCATCCATTATACTGCACACTACTATTCATTAGTGTCCTAACCATGCACTTAAGATTGTTTAGCAAGTGCAACTTGACTTGACACTACTGTCAACAAGATTTTAGCTTTTTTTCCCCCTTAACACCAAATTATGGAACAAGACTAGTCATCACCCAACCTTCTTACTCTAAGAATTGAATGCATAACAATCCCACAAATAAATCCTTAGAATTCATGTCCCTTGAACACATTGCATACTCACTCCCAGAAAGCAATTGAACCCCTAAAACCCCAATTGCAAATTGATCCAAAATATTTACCAAAGAACTGCCTAAAACCAATCTGAAAACAAATTTAGCTACTGACCAAGAAGCACCATACACCCTCCACTTCTCCCACCAAAATTTTATTGCCTGGCAAGCCCTCCAGTTCCACGGTAGCACGGTATTTTACCAAACCAGCACCTAATCAAGTTCATTAGCCCGACTATTATCGACATAGACATTGCTGAAACATCCTTTTTTCTAGGAAAAGATCGGTTGAAAATTTACATACTGCAACAACTGAATATAGGATTGATAAAGGAAGTTGTGGAATAGTCCCTCTCACAAATCCATCTTTCCATGAATGTTTAGATAGCTATACAATCAATATCAGATGGCCGTAATTTGAACCCTTTAACAGCTTTAGACCCACCAATTACAGCCAAAATTACACCCAACAGGAGTATAATAAAAACCGTTGGAAGAGAAAATATCATTTTCCTCAATTTGCTCCTTTTTTGAGGCCTGTTTGGATAATCGTTTTCTCCGTCAATCAAATCTTGCACTATCTCAAGAGGTCACTTGGAAGAAGTATATGGATGTGTAAGAATGGTCATTCTTTCATTACTGTATATACAGACGTAGATTGGGTTGGCCATACTGATCAGAGCCGACCTTGAGATTTTGGGTGCCATGTACGAAATTTTAAAATGATGCCACTTCAAGTAACTAAAACATATATTTAAAAAATATATTTCAATAATATTATTTCATTGCAAAAATATGATATTTAATTTTTTTTGTTTTTATTTTTACATACATGAACAAGAAAGACGTAAATAAAGCTCAAAAGCATCTCTCGAATTTCATCAAAATTCATATGTCATCAACAAAGAACCATCCAAGCCGCTAGTCTCTTCGTGCAATTCCATATAAGCAATCCT